TGAGGATAAGAAGAAGGGGTTGATGATGTTGTGAATTGGCTGAGAAAGAATGGCCCACACCTGATGTGGTAGATGCCCCCACAGTTGAGGCTCTGGCAGAAATGACGGGTTTCCCACTCCCCAAGAAATTGGCCTCCAGACTCCAAGGATATCATTAGAGATGTGTGGACTGGTTGCGAACAAAATAAGCCATGATCACATCCAAGACTTGACGACGCCAACACTTACAGTTTGATGATCATGGTGGCCCAACACCATTATGTTGTACCACTCGAGGGACAATTCCAGCAGGCATTGGAGCACCAGGAACCTGCAGCAAGCTGTCAAGAGTGGGTTCATCCAGCTTGGATGTGTCAGGTTTATTGCTTCGCAACCAGTCCACTGCATCCTCCACAAACTTCTTCGTCTCCTTGGGGGTTCCATTGGTTGGCATAGGCACTCCTGACAAGTTGGAAAGCGCTTCCAGAGTTGGTTCATCTGGTAGTTTGGCAGGTCCACCAATCTTCCTCAGCCAATCAAGTACATCCTCGACGCCCTTCTTCTTGGTCTGACGAGGAACAACTCCAGAAGGCATTGGTGCACCTGGTACCTGCAACAAACTGTCCAGAGTGGGTTCATCCAATTGTGAGGTATCAGGCTTGTTGTTGCGCAACCAATCCACAGAGGCATCCAAAAACGTTTTCGTGTTCGTTGGTGTCATCTTCTTTGGCATGGGTACTCCTGTCAGGTGGGATAGTGCTTCAAGCGTAGGTTCATCCACTTCACCCTTTGGAACTCCCTTTCTCCTTAACCAATCAAGAACATCCTCAACACCCTTCTTTTTAGTCTCCCGGAGCACAACACCAGAGGGCATTGGAGCTCCTGGGACCTGCATGATACTATCCAGAGTGGGCTCACCAAGCTTTGATGTGTCTGGTTGGTTATTCCTCAGCCAGTCAACAACATCATCCATCAACTTCTTGGTATCCGGTAATATTTTCTTGGGCAAAGGGAAACCAGTCAACCTTGTCAGAGCTTCAACTGTGGGCTCATCCACTTCTTCATTTGGTGGACCATTCTTCCTCAGCCAATTTGCCATATCCTCAACACCCTTCTTCTTGGTATCACGGGGGACAACTCCAGAAGGCATTGGAGCTCCGGGAACCTGCAACAAAGTATCAAGTGTGGGCTCATCCAGATCAGATGTGCCAGGTTTGTTGTTTCGCAACCAAGCCACTGCATCATCAACAAACTTCTTCTTGTCCTTGGGAGTCTTCCTGGATGGCATGGGAACCCCTGTTAGATTGGAGAGCGCCTTGAGGGTTGGCTCATCAAGCTCCTCCTCAGGGCCACCATTCTTCCTCAGCCATTCCATCACATCCTCGACGCCCTTCTTCTTGTTCTCGCGTGGAACAACTCCAGAAGGCATTGGGGCACCAGGAACTTGCAACAAACTGTCCAGAGTAGGTTCATCCAACTTTGAGGTATCCGGTTTGTTGTTCCGTAGCCAATCCACAGAGGCATCCAAAAACTTCTGCTTGTCCTTAGGTGTCTTGCTTTTTGGCATGGGAACACCAGTCAGGTTGGAGAGTGCTTCAAGAGTGGGTTCATCAACTTCCTCCTTGGGGGAACCATTGTCCCTGAGCCAGTTCACAACATCCTCAACACCCTCCTTCTTGGTCTCGCGTGGTACAACACCAGATGGTGTTGGGCCACCTGGCACCTGCATCAAACTGTCAAGTGTTGGCTCGTCAAGTCTTGATGTATCTGGCTCATTGTTGCGCAACCAGTCCACCACATCTCTAATGATATCCTTGGAGTCTGGAGCCACTTTCTTGGGGAGTGGGAAACCGGTCATTTCTGCCAGAGCCTCAACTGTGGGGGCATCTACCACATCAGGTGGTGGGCCATTCATTCTCAGCCAATTCACAACATCATCAACACCCTTCTTCTTATCCTCACGAGGGACAATTCCAGCAGGCATTGGAGCACCAGGAACCTGCAGCAAGCTGTCAAGAGTGGGTTCATCCAGCTTGGATGTGTCAGGTTTATTGCTTCGCAACCAGTCCACTGCATCCTCCACAAACTTCTTCTTCTCCTTGGGGGTTCCATTGGTTGGCATAGGCACTCCTGTCAAGTTGGAAAGCGCTTCCAGAGTTGGTTCATCTGGAAGTTCGACAGGTCCACCGTTCTTCCTGAGCCATTCCATCACATCCTCGGCGCCCTTCTTCTTCATCTCGCGTGGGACAACTCCAAAAGGCATTGGTGCACCTGGTACCTGCAACAAACTGTCCAGAGTGGGTTCATCCAATTGTGAGGTATCAGACTTGTTGTTGCGCAACCAATCCACAGAGGCACCCAAAAACTTTTTCGTGTTCGTTGGTGTCATCTTCTTTGGCATGGGTACTCCTGTCAGATTGGATAGTGCTTCAAGCGTAGGTTCATCCATATCACCCTTTGGAACTCCCTTTTTCCTCAACCAATCAAGAACATCGTCAACACCCTTCTTTTTAGTCTCCCGGGGCACAACACCAGAGGGCATTGGAGCTCCTGGGACCTGCATGATACTCTCCAGAGTGGGCTCACCAAGCTTTGATGTGTCTGGTTGATTATTCCTCAGCCAGTCAACAACATCATCCATCAACTTCTTGGTATCAGGTAATATTTTCTTGGGCAAAGGGAAACCAGTCAACCTTGTCAGAGCTTCAACTGTGGGCTCATCCACTTCTTCACTTGGAGGACCATTCTTCCTCAGCCAATTTGCCATATCCTCTACGCCTTTCTTCTTGGCATCACGGCGAACAACTCCAGAAGGCATTGGAGCTCCGGGAACCTGCAACAAACTATCAAGTGTGGGCTCATCCAGCCTAGATGTATCAGGTGTGTTGTTTCGCAACCAAGCCACTGCATCATCAACAAACTTCTTCTTGTCCTTGGGAGTCTTCCTGGATGGCATGGGAACCCCTGTTAGATTGGAGAGCGCCTTGAGGGTTGGCTCATCAAGCTCCTCCTCAGGGCCACCATTCTTCCTCAGCCATTCCATCACATCCTCGACGCCCTTCTTCTTGTTATCGCGTGGAACAACTCCAGAAGGCATTGGGGCACCAGGAACTTGCAACAAACTGTCGAGGGTAGGCTCATCCAACTCTGCGGTATCAGGTTTATTGCTCCGCAGCCAATTCACAGAGGCATCTAAGAACTTCTTCTTGTTCTTTGGCGTCATTTCATTAGGCATGGGGACCCCTGTGAGATTGGAGAGTGCTTCAAGAGTGGGTTCATCAACTTCCTGTTTGGGGGCGCCATTCTTTCGCAGCCAATCAACTAAGGCGTCAACACCCTTCTTCTTGGTCTCACGTGGCACAACACCAGAGACAATTGGGCCACCTGGAACCTGCATCAAACTGTCAAGTGTTGGCTCGTCAAGCTTCGATGTATCTGGCTCATTGGTGCGCAACCAGTCAACCACATCATTCAAGGCTTTCCTCATTGAGCCCTTTACATTTGGTGATGATGTCTTGGGAAGGGGGAAACCTGTCATAGTCGCTAAGGCCTCTACCGTTGGTTCATCTAAGTCTTGCTTCGGTGGCCCATTTTTTCGTAACCAGTTCACGACATTCTCCGCGACCACCTTCTTATCCTCTCGAGATACCACCCCAGCAGGGATTGGAGCACCCGGAATCTGCATCAAGCTGTCAAGGGCAGGCTCGTCCAGTCTGGATGTATTTGGTTCATTGCTCCGCAACCAGTTAGCTGCCTCCTCCAGAAACCTTTCCTTCTCCTTGTTTGTCTGTCTTGTGGGCATGGGTACACTTGTCAACTTGGAAAGAGCTTCCAGCGTTGGTTCATCAGGGAGTACACCTGCACTGCCATTCTTTCTGAGCCACTCGACAACAGCCTCCACACCCTTCTTCTTGTTCTCACGTGGCACGACCCCAGAGGGCATTGGGGCACCCGGAACTTGCAACAAACTGTCCAGAGTAGGTTCATCCAACTTTGAGGTATCTGGTTTGTTGTTCCGAAGCCAGTCCACAGACTCATCCATAAACTTCTTCTTTTCCTTGGGGGTCATTTCCTTAGGCATAGGGACCCCTGTTAGATTGGAAAGTGTTTCAAGAGTAGGTTCATCAACTTCCTCCTTGGGGGAACCATTCTCCCTTAGCCAGTTTACAACATCCTCAACACCCTTCTTCTTGGTCTCACGAGCGACAACACCAGAAGGCATGCGCACGGCCGGAACCTGCATGATGCTGTCTAGTGTAGGCTCATCAAGCTTGGAATAATCTGGTTCATTCATTCTCAACCAGTCAACAATGTCTTCCATTAACTTCTTTGTATCTGGGGTCATCGCCTTGGGCAAGGGGACACCAGTCAGTCGCGCAACAGCCGCAACCGTGGGCTCATCAACTTCAGCACTGGGTGGTCCATTGTTCCTCAACCAGTTAACAACATCCTCAACACCCTTCTTCTTGGTCTCGCGAGATACAACCCCTGATGGCACAGGCGGACCGTTTACCTGCAGCAGACTGTCGAGAGTGGGCTCATCAAAGTTTGATATGTCTGGTTTATTCTTTCGCAACCAGTCCACAACATCTCCAACAAAAACTTCCTTAGCGTGAGGAGTTCTTTTCTTCGGCATAGGAACACCAGTGAGGTTGGAAAGAGCCTTGAGTGTTGGTTCATCCGGCATGTCTTTTGGTGCTCCATTCTTCCTTAGCCAACCAACAACATCCTCCACACCCTTCTTCTTGGTCTCGCGAGAAACAACACCAGAGGGCATCGGAACACCTGGAATCTGTATCAAACTGTCAAGAGTGGGTTCATCCAGCTTAGAAATATCTGGTGTCTTCTCTCGAAGCCAGGCAACACTGTCCTCCAAGAACTTCTTCTTCTCCTTAGGTGTGCCCTTGTTGGGCATAGGAACACCTGTCAGATCTGATAGTGCTCGAAGAGTAGGTTCATCCAATTCACCCTTGGGAACTCCCTTTCTCTTCAGCCAATCCACCACATTCTCCACACCTTTCTTCTTGGCATCCCGCGGGACAACACCAGAGGGCATTGGGGCACCAGGAACCTGCATGATACTGTCAAGGGTTGCTTCACCGAGCCTGGCAATATCGGGTTCGTTCTTACGCAGCCAGCTGACTACATCATGTAAGAGATCTTTCGAACCAGGTACCAACTTCTTTGGCAAAGGAAAACCAGTCATTCTTGCAATTGCTTCGATGGTGGGCTCATCAAGCTTTCCCTTGGGTGGTCCATTTTCCCTCAGCCAATCAAACACATCATTGGCGGCTTTTTTCTTATCTTCGCGAGGTACAATACCTGAAGGCATGGGAGCGCCAGGAACTTGCATCAAACTCTCCAGAGTGGGCTCGTCAAGCTTAGAAGAATCTGGTTCATTATTGCGCAGCCAGTCAACTGCATCCTCCATAAACCTCTTCTTCTCCTCTGGAGAAACCTTGGTAGGCATGGGAACACCTGTTAAGTTGGAGAGAGCCTCCAGGGTAGGTTCATCCGGGGTTTCAATTGGGCCTTCCATGTCCCTTAGCCAATCGACCACGTCATCAACACCCTTCTTTTTGGTGGCACGAGGAACCACTCCAGAAGGCAATGGAGCCCCGGGCACTTGCAGAAGACTGTCAAGAGTGGGCTCATCCAGCTTGGAGGTCTCTGGTTTGTTGTTTCGCAGCCAACCAACTGCAGCATCCAAGAACTTCTTCTTGTTCTTTGGTGTAATCTTCTTTGGCATAGGCACTCCTGTGAGATTCGACAGGGCTTGTATTGTAGGTTCATCAACATCACCCTTTGGAACACCCTTCCTCCTTAACCAATCAACAACACTTTCAACACCCTTCTTCTTATTATCTCGTGACACTATGCCAGAGGGCACTGGAGCTCCTGGAATTTGCATGAGACTGTCAAGTATGGTTTCATCAAGCCTTGCAGTATCAGGATCATTCTTGCGCAACCAGTCCACCACATCCTCCAATAGCTGGTTTGAATCAGGAACCAGGGACTTGGGAAGTGGAAATCCAGTCATAGTAGCAAGGGCTTCCAAAGTGGGCTCATCTACTTCTCCTTTTGGTGTCCCATAATTTCTCATCCAATCAGCAACGTCATTGACAGCCTTCTTCTTATCGTCACGAAGGACAATACCAGCAGGCATTGGAGCACCAGGAACCTGCAGCAAGCTGTCAAGAGTGGGTTCATCCAGCTTAGATGTGTCTGGCTTGTTGTTACGCAGCCAGTCAACAGCATCGTCCATGAACTTCTTCTTTGTCTCAGGAGTCTTCTTCTTGGGCATTGGAACACCAGTGATATCTGAGAGGGCTTCAAGAGTGGGTTCATCCAGCTCTTCCTCTGGACCACCATTCTTCCTCAGCCAATCAAGTACATCATCAACACCCTTCTTCTTTGTCTCACGAGGGATAACACCAGAAGGCATGGGTGCACCCGGGACCTGCAACAAACTGTCAAGAGTGGGTTCATCAAGCTTGGATGTATCTGGTGCATTGCTCCGCAGCCAGTTCACAGAAGCATCCAGAAACTTCTTCTTGTCCTTGGGTGTATCCTCCTTGGGCATTGGGACACCCGTCAGATTGGACAGTGCTTGAAGCGTGGGTTCATCCACTTCTTGTTTGGGGGCACCATTTTGTCTCAGCCAGTCAAACACATCCTCAACACCCTTCTTCTTGGTCTCCCGTGGCACAACACCGGAGGGCAGCGGAGCTCCAGGCACCTGCATGATACTGTCCAGAATTGGCTCCTCAAGTTTTGAGGTATCTGGGTCATTCTTTCGCAACCAATCGACCACATCATTCAAAAGCTTCTTGCTGTTTGAAGTTATTGTCTTGGGCATTGGGAAACCAGTCATTCGGGAAAACGCCTCAAGAATAGGTTCGTCAATTTCTCCATGTGGTGGTCCATTTTTTCGAAGCCAGTCACAGATATCATCGAGACCTCCCTTCTTGGACTCACGAGAAACAACCCCAGAAGGTATTGGCGCTCCCGGAACCTGCAACAAACTATCAAGTGTGGGCTCATCCAGCTTAGATGTATCAGGTTTGTTGTTTCGCAACCAAGCCACTGCATCATCAACAAACTTCTTCTTGTCCTTGGGGGTCTTCCTGGATGGCATCGGAACCCCTGTTAGACTAGAGAGCGCCTTGTGAGTTGGCTCATCAAGCTCCTCCTCAGGGCCACCATTCTTCCTGAGCCATTCCATCACATCCTCAACGCCCTTCTTCTTGTTCTCACGTGGAACAACTCCAGATGGCATTGGGGCGCCAGGAACTTGCAACAAACTGTCCAATGTAGGTTCATCCAACTTTGAGGTATCCGGTTTGTTGTTCCGCAGCCAATCCACAGAGTCATCCAAAAACTTCTTCTTGTCCTTGGCGGTCATTTCCTTAGGCATAGGGACCCCAGTCAGGTTGGAGAGTGCTTCAAGAGTAGGTTCATCAACTTCCTCCTTGGGGGAACCATTCTCCCTGAGCCAGTTCACAACATCCTCAACACCCTTCTTTTTGGTCTCGCGTGGTACAACACCAGATGGTGTTGGGCCACCTGGCAACTGCATCAAACTATCAAGCGTTGGCTCGTCAAGTCTTGATGTATCTGGTTCATTCTTGCGCAACCAGTCAACCACTTCATCCATCAGTGATGATTCTGCCTTTGGTAACGGTAACCCAGTGATTCTGGACATGGCATCCATTGCAGGGCCGTCCACAGCATCAGGTTGTGGGTCATTTCTTCGAAGCCAGTTGACAGCCTCCTCAACTGATTTTTGTTGCTCTGGAGTTATCTGGGATGGACTAGACAAGGGTGCATTTGCAGTCTTGATGATTTCGCTAGCTGTTGGTTCATCAATGCTGTCAAGGTCAGGCTCATTGTTCCTCAGCCAATCGATAGCGTCCTCTACCAATTTCTTGTTGTTCTCTGGAGAAAGATTCTTCGGCACAGGAATACTGGAAAGGCTGGAGAAAGCATTAACTGTAGGTTCTTCGACATTCTTGAGGGGAGGATCATTCTTTCGAAGCCAGTTGATGGCATCCTCCAAATCAATCCTGAGAAGGGGGCTTAGCTTGGAATCTTTTGGCAACTGTGAACTCACAAGATTGATCACTTCATCAGCTGTGGGTTCATCAATACTAGAAAGATCAGGTTCGTGATTTCGCAGCCAACCGATAGCATCTTCCACCAGCCTTTTGTTGGCTCTTGCCGACATGTCAGTTGGGAGGGGCAATGCACTAAGATTTGAAAAGGCTTCAGCTGTAGGGGGCCCAATGTCATCCAAAGGAGGGTCATTTTTCCTCAGCCATGCAATGGCATTTTCCAGTGCCTTCATTTTCGCTGGACTGAGCCTATCTTTGGCTGGGAGAGGAACCCCGGTCAGCTTGGCTACTTCCTCTGCAGTGGGTTGATCAACTTGGCTAAGATCAGGCTCATTGTTTCTCAACCAATCAATAGAATCCTTCAAGAAGTTCTTGTTTGCCTTCGTGGAGTGCTTCTGAGGCATGGGTAAACCAGTCAAGTTTGAAAAGGCCTCTACAGTTGGCTTGCGCACATTCTTTAAGACGGGGTCGTTGTTCCTCAGCCAGTCCACTGCCTCCTCCAAGGCCATCAATTGTGCCGCACTTAGGCCTCCGGGGGTTGCTGCATGGGGAGCGTTCGCAATCTTTGTTACCTCATTTGCAGTGGGTTCATCCAAATCATCAAGGTTTGGATCATTTTTCCGGAGCCAGTCAATAGCATCCTCCACAAACTTCTTGTTTTTCTTAGGTGTCATCTTTTTTGCAAGTGGAAGGCCAGTCAAATTAGAGAAAGCGACTGCAGCTGGATTCGAAACATTTTCCAACCTAGGATCATTCTTTTTCAGCCAATCAAGTGCATCCTCGACTGCTTTCCTTCGCAATTGCCTTTCTGAAGGACCCTCAGGCAGGGACTCTGCACCCAAGCTACTCAGAGTCTGCAGTGTCTTGTTGTCTACCTCATCAACCTTGGGTTCATTCCTCCGCAACCAATCCACAGCATCCTCAACAAACTTCTCCTTCGCTTCTTGAGAAATTTTCTCTGGGATTGGCAACCCCGTGAGCATTGAAAATGCTTCCAGAGCTGGCTCGTCAATGGCATCCAAGTCTGGATCATTATTCCTGAGCCAGTCAACCGCATCATCCAATGCATTCTTCTTTTGGTCCCTTGGAACTACTCCTGCAGGCATGGGAACACCAGCCAACATTGTAAGGTCTTCAACTGCGCTATCTTCCAAATCTTCCACATTCGGATTGTTGTTCCGAATCCAATCAAGCGCATCATCCAAGAACTCCTTCTTCTTGTCACGGGTCATCTGCTGGGGCAACGGAATGCCACTTAGGCTTGACAACGCTTCAAAAGTAGGCTCATCCAAATCATCTGGGTTAGGTTCATTCGCCCTCAGCCAGTCCACAGCATCTGATAATGCCTTAGATTTTGCCCCCTTGGTTGTAGTGGGGGTTGGCATGCCGACCCCTGCAAATCTTGTGACCTCCTCTGCAGTCTTGTCGTCCACATCATCAATATCAGGGTCGTTTTTTCGGATCCAATCAATTGCGGCCTCCATGAACTTCTTGTTGCGCTTAGGTGATGCCTTCTTTGGCATTGGCAAACCAGTCAAGTTCGAGAAGGCCTCCACAGTCGGTTCATGCACTCTGTCCAGTGGAGGATCATTGTTCCGAAGCCAATTGATCGCATCTTGGAGAGCTTTCCTCTTTTCATCGCTGTAGGAGGCTCCAGGAGGCATGGGCATTCCTGCAAGGTTGGTCAGTGCAACGATATCTGCTTCTTCAAGATTCTCATCAAGGTCCGGCTTGTTTTGCCTCAACCATTCAAAGGCCTTATCCACAAATTGCTGCTTATCCTCTGCGTTCGTGGGCAATGGTATGTGGGTAAGATTTGACAGTGCTTCAAAGGCTGGTTCATCAATGTCTTCCATGCTGACATCATTATTTCGGAGCCAGTCAAGAGCATCCTGCGCAGCATTGGTCCTTGCGTCCTTCGGTGTCTTCTTGTTTCCCTTTGGTCCTGGCATCACATCTGCGGGCACTCCGGCGAGATTTGCTAAAGCCTGTAAAGTGACTTCATCAATCTCATCAACAGACGGGTCGTTATTACGTAGCCAATCAAGGGCTTCTTCAGCAAGGCTTGCTTTCTGTGAAGGTGTAAGAATACCGTCTGGAAGCGTGATGCCAGCCAACTTAGCCAATGGTGCCAGAGCATCATCATCGAGATCCTTCTCAGGGTGATTGTTCCGAAGCCAATCCAAAGCATCATCAAGCACTTCCCTTTTCTCTCCTGGACTAAAGTCTGTCCCTGGTGCAGAGAGTCCAGCCAGACCAGCCAATGCTTCCAATGTGGGATCATCGAGATCGAGAAGCTCCGGGTCACTATTCCGTAGCCAGTCAAGCATATCATCCAGCACTTGCCCCTTTTGATTTGGTGTCAGTTCACCTTCAGGTAGAGGAACTCCAGCAAGCTTAGCAAGTGCGACAGCAGTCGCGTCATCCAGATCATCTGGACTTGGATCATTGTTCCTTAACCAATTGACAACTTCACTCATGTCCCTTGCATTTGTTCCAGTTGCGGCAGAGCCGCGTGGGATCTCGTGACCAGCCAGTTTCGTCAGAGCAGCAACTGTGGGCTCATCAAGGTCATCAAAGCTAGGCTCATTTTCACGGAGCCAATCAAGAACACTGTCAACAAAATCTTTCTTCTTCTTGGGGGTCAGTTTCTTTGGAAGTGGCACCCCTGTCAATTTGGAAAGAATATTTGCAGTTGGAATGTCAACATCAGACAGTGCAGGATCATTGTTGCGGAGCCAAGCCAATGCCTCGTCCAAGTGCTTCTTTTGCACCTCAACAGGTACCACATCCGCGGGAAGAGCAACTCCAGTTAGCTTTGTGACCTCCTCAACAGTGGAATCATCAAGATCATCAAGGTCTGGGTCATTCTTCCGAAGCCAGCCTATGGCATCTTCCATGTATTTCCTCTTTTTCTTCGGGGTCATCTTCTTGGGCATGGGGAGTCCTGTCAGATTTGAGAAAGCCTCCACTGTCGGATTCTCAATGTCAGACAGGTTGGGATCATTTTTCCTCAGCCATTCAATTGCTTCCTGCACAGCCTCCTTCCTGGAGTCACTCGTTTGAGTGGCCAATGGCATTGCCACCGTAGCCACTTTGGTAACTTCCGCGGCAGTGGGTTCATCCACCTTGCTAAAATCTGGGTCATTTCGACGAAGCCAGTCCACAGAATCATTCACAAACTTCTTGATACCTTGCTGTGTCATCCCTCTCTTTGGAAGGGGTAGACCTGTAATGTTGGCGAAAGCCTGTGCTGTGGACTGGGAAACATCGTCCAAAACTGGATCATTCACCCTCAGCCAATTCACTGCTTTTTCAACAGCCGCAACAAGGTCTTGCTTGGGAATAATTCCAGCTGGCAAGGGAAGACCTGCAAGGCTCAGGACATCTTCCAAGGTTGAGTCGTCCAGGTGGCTGTCCAAGTCTGGGGTGTTGTTTCGAAGCCAGTCAAGGGCATTTTCCATAAACTTCTTCTTGTTTTTGGGACTCATCTTCTTCGGCAGCGGCAATCCAGTGAGCTTAGAGAATGTTTCCAAGGTGGGGTCGCCAAGAACCTCGAGGTTGGGGTCATTATTTCGCAACCAGTCCATAGCATCGTTCATTGCATCCTTCCTCGTCTTCCTCGAAACAACACCAGGGGGCAGGGGCACACCAGCTAGCCTAGTTAAATCATCCAGGCCTGGCTCATCCAGCATTTCAGCAGTCAATGGATCGTTGTTTCTCAACCAGTCCAATGCAGACTCCATGAACTTCTTCTTCGCCTTGGGAGTCATCTTTTTAGGCAATGGAAGCCCTGTTAACTTCGATAATGTCTCAACAGTAGGATCATCAACTACATCCAAGTCGGGGTCATTTTTGCGGAGCCAATTAATCGCATCAGCAAGCGCCTGCTCCTTTGCATCTTTAGGGTTTGCAGATGATGGCATCTCAAGCCCCGCAAGATTCAGCAATGCCTCGACAGTAGGTTCATCCATGTGCTTATCAGGGTCAAGGTTGTTGTTCCTCAGCCACTCCAGTGCATCATCAACAAATGCCTGCTTTTCTGCTTCTGACATGTTCTCCGGCATAGGAACATCAGTAAGGTTTGAGAGTGCCTTCATTGTTGGGACATCAAGACTGCCTGGGCTTGGGTCATTGGCACGAAGCCAAGCAAGAGCATCATCAACAACACCCTTCCTGGTGCTTCTGGGTAGGGTTCCTACAGGTAAAGCAACCCCGGCAAGTTTCGTGAATTCTTCTACTGTGGCATCATCCAGGTTCATTTCAAAGTCAGGGTTGTTATTCCTGAGCCATTCCAATGCATCTTCCATTGCCAACTTCTTGGCATCAAGCGACATATCCTCTGGCAGGGGCACACCTGTTAACCTGGAGAATGCTGCCACCGTGGTGTCATCAATATCATCAAGATTTGGGTCATTATTACGGAGCCAATCCAGGGCATCAGACATCCCTTTCTTCTTTGGGTCGGATTTCGGTAGAGACTGTGGCATCGGTGATCCAGATAGCTTGGTAAGTGCTTCCATTGTTGGGTCATCCAGACTCTTGCTCAAGTCTGGCTCGTTGTTGCGCAACCATTCGACCGCATCATCCACAAACTTTTTCCTGTCATCACCTGAAAGCGACTCAGGAAGAGGAATACCTGTGATAGTGGCTAGGGACTCCAAAGTTGCATCATCAAGGGCATCAGGATTTGGCACGTTGTTTCGAAGCCAATTCAAAGCGTCAGCAACAGCTTTCTTCCTTGCTTTCTTCGGAATTGTTCCTGCTGGAAGTGGCACGCCAGCGAGCTTGGTAACTTCTTCAACAGTGGGATCATCTAGATTGCCATCAAGATCAGGTTCATTGTTCCTCAACCAATCAACTGCATTTTCCATAAACCTCTTCTTTGATTCTGGTGTCATCTTCTTGGGGAGTGGCAGCCCTGTTAGCCTGGAGAATGCTTCAACTGTAGGTTCATCAATATTGCTTAGATCAGGGTCATTATTTCGAAGCCAGTTCACAGCTTCATTCAATGCTCTCTTCTTGGCTTCCATGGGCCCAGACAACGAAGGCAACGGTGTATGAGCAACATCAATTATCCTGTTCGCAGTGGGCTCGTCAACTTTTGATAGATTTGGTTCATCGTTCCGCAGCCAAGCAATTGCATCTTCCATGAACACTTTCTTTTCATCTTGGGACAATATTTTGGAGAGTGGAACTCCAGTCAGAGTGGAAAAAGCCGCAAGGGTAGGTTCATCTAATTCAATGTCAGGAGCACCATTCTCTCTCAGCCACCCCACAACATCAGCAACACCTTCCTTCTTCGCTTCTCTTGAGACAGTCACAGAAGGAAGCTCAGAACCAGGAACCTGCAGCAAGCCATCAAGAGTGGGTTCATCCAGCTTGGACAAGTCAGGTCCTCCCTGTCGCAGCCAATTGACAGCATCTTCCACAAACTTCTTCTTTCCCTCAGCTGTCTTCTGTTTCGGCAGTGGGACACCAGTCAAGTTTGAAAGTGCTTCAAGTGTGCCTTCGTCAAGTTCAACTTCTGGTGCACCATTCTTCCTGAGCCAATCAATCACTTTCTCAACACCTTTCTTCTTTTTGTCTCTTGATACAACCCCACCTGTCACTGGAGCACCAGGCACATTAATCAGGCTGTCTAGAGTAGGCTCGTCAAGTTTGGATGCATCTGGCTTGTTCTTCCGTAACCAACCCACAACAGTATCCAGAAACTTCTTAGTCTCTTTGGGGCTATTCTTCCTGGGTAGTGGAACACCCGTTAGATTGGACAGTGCTGCAAGGGTGGGAGCATCCAGGTCTTCTTTAGGAGGACCATTCTTTCGCAGCCAGTTACAGAGAGACTCGACCCCCTTCTTCTTGGTCTCTCGAGGGACAACCCCAGAAGGCAAGGGAGCACCCGGCACCTGCAGGAGGCTGTCAAGGGATGGCTCATCAAGTTTGGAGGTATCAGGCTTGTTCTTTCGCACCCAGTCAACAACATTGTCCATGAACTTCTTATCTTCCTCAGTCACTCTCTTTGGAAGTGGGACACCAGTCAAGTTGGAAAGTGCTTCCAACGTAGGTTCATCAACATCAGTTACTGTGACTCCATTCTCTCGCATCCATTCAAGAACTTGCTCCACTCCCTTCTTCTTGGTCTCTCTTGGCACAGTTGCTGCTGGCAAGGCAGAACCTGGGACCTGCAACAAACCGTCAAGAGTGGGCTCGTCCAACTTAGACAAATCAGGACCACCCTGTCGCAGCCAGTTCACTGCAGCATCCAGGAAGTTTTTCTTGTCCTTGGGTGTCATCTTCTTCGGCATGGGGACACCAGTGAGATTGGAGAGTGCTTCTAGGGTTGGTTCGTCTAGTTCATCTTTTGGTGGCCCATTCTTCCTCAGCCAATCAACAACGTCCTGAACACCCTTCTTCTTTGAGTCGCGAGAGACGACTCCTTTGGGGAGGGGGGCTCCAGGAATATTCATGAGGGTATCCAGAGTGGGCTCATCAAGCAGGGCTGTCTCAGGCGTGTGCTTCCGTAGCCAGCCCACAGCTTCATCGAGAAATTTCTGGTTTTCTTTTGCTTTCTTTGGCATTGGAATTCCTGTTACAGTGGAGATGGCTCCCAGTATGGGATCATCCAGGCCTTCTGCGGCAGGGGCATTCTTTCTCATCCAGTTCAAGACATTCTCAACTGCCGCCTTCTTGGTCTCTCGAGGCAAAACACCAGATATCAATGGTGCACCTGGTAATTGCATTAGACCGTCCAGTGTGCCTTCATCAAGTTTAGAGGTGTCAGGATCGTGCTTGCGAAGCCAGTTAACAATATCTTCCAGCGTCTTCTTCTTCTTGTCTGGAGCCATCTTTGATGGTCGTGAATCACTCGGCAATGGCAAACCAGTCAAGACAGAAAATGCCTCAACAGTTGGTTCCTCCAAATTGTCCAATGGTGGATCATTTTGTCTCAGCCAGTTGACAGCATTTTCCAATGCTTTCATCAAGGCTGGATCCAGCTTTGAACCAGTTGGCATGGGAGTTCCACTTGCCTTGGCAAAGGCTTCAAAATCTTCATCATCTAACTGCTCCAAGTCAGGGTGGTTGTTTCGCAGCCAATTTAGTGCATCTTCAATCTGTCTGGCTTTCTTCGCCTCTGGTGTCACTGATTTTGGCATTGGAACCCCAGACAGCTTTTCCAATGCATTAGCTGTCAGTTCGTCGAGGTCATCAACATTTGGATCATTGTTCCGTAGCCACTGCATGATATCATCCATCATGTTGGTCTTTTCCTCCTGCGACAAATTGCTAGGCAATGCAACACCAGCAAGCCTTGTGATAGCTTCGACTGTAGGGTCATCAAGATTGTTTTTGATATCAGGTTCATTGTTTCGCAACCAGCTGATTGCATTCTCTGCAAACTTCTTCTTGTTTTTACGAGTCAATTTCTTTGGAAGGTTAAGACCTGTGAGATTTGAAAGTGCTTGCGCAGTTGGGTTGTCAATATCAGATAAATCTGCATCATTGTTTCTCAGCCAGTTGATAGCATCTTCCATTGCCTTGTACTTCCTATCCTTCGGTTCCAAATGAGGCACTGGCATGCCTGCCACTCTCGATACCTCATCAGCTGTAGGTTCATCAACACTGTCTAAGATGGGATCATGTTTTCGGAGCCACCCAACTGCATCATCAACAAATTTCTTCACATCCTGGGGCGACATTCTCTTGGCTGGGAGTGGCAAACTTGTGATGTTTGAAAAAGCCTTCACAGTTACCCCGGACACTTCATCCAAAAGCGGTTCATTTTTGCGGAGCCAATTGACTGCATCAATGACCCTTTCCTTCAGTTGGTTCATCGGTGCCATCCCAGCAGGCAGCGACTTTCCGGCCAGGCTGGCGAGCACCTCAATTGAAGGATTGTCAAGGACATTCGCCATTGATGGGTCATTACTTCGTAGCCAGTCGAGGGCATCCTCCATAAATTTAGCCTTCGATCGTGCCGACGAATCTTCAGGCATGGGAACTCCAGTCAGACTGGAAAGTGCTTCAAGGGTGGGATCATCAAGGCTCTCGACATCAGGGTCATTGTTTCTTAGCCATTCAATTGCCTCTTCCAATGATTTTTCTCTTGCCTCTTTAGACACAGTGCCAGGGGGGAGAGGATGACCAGCAAGCCGAGTCAAGTCTTCAATAGTAGGGTCATCAAGGTTGTTTTCGATGTTTGGATCATTATTGCGGAGCCAGTTGAGGGCATCTGCAACAAACTTCTCTTTATCACCAGGTGTCATGTCGGATGGCAACTGCAAGCCAGTCAGCTTGGCAAGAGACTCAAGCATGGGATCATCAATTTCACCACTGTCGGGATCATTGTTCCTCAACCAATTAATTGCATCCTCCAATCCCTTTCTCTTGGCCTCGGTGGCACTTGTGGCAGGAGGCATTGGAACATTCGCAAGTCGTACAATGCTCTCAACCATTGGATCAGACAGGTTTTGCCTTGTGTCAGGATTATGCTTTCGCAACCAATCCACGGCATTATCCATAAACTTCCTCTTGTTATTGGGGGTCATCTTTTTGGGCATGGGAAGCCCGGTCAGCTTTGAAAAGGCTTCAACAGTGAGATCATCCAAGTCTGAAAGATCAGGATCATTATTCCTCAGCCAATCGATGGCATCCTCAACAGCCCTTTGCTTGGCATCTGCTGCTGGGGACTGATGTGGCATAGCTACACCAGCAACCTGGGTGACTGCTTCAACTGTTGGATCATCCAGATTGCTTTCAATATCAGGTTCGTGCTGTCGGATCCAATCAATAGCCTCTTCCATTCCTTTCTTCTTGGAACCAGCAGTCAGTCGCTTTGGCATGGGCAAGCCAGTCAACTTGGAAAATGCCTGCATGACTGGATCTGAAACATTGTCTAATCTCGGATCATTGTTTCTGAGCCATTCAATTGCCTCTTTCATTGCCTTCCTCTTAGCAGACAGCGGAGTGAATCCCGGTGGAAGAGATTGGCCAGCAAGATTTACAAGATCCTCAATTGTGGGGTCATCAAGGGCTCTAGCTGGAGGTGGGTCATTATTCCGCAACCAATCAATTGCATTTTCCATGAAGTCCTCTTTGGAAGCTGGAGTCAAGACATGGGGCATGGGCAATCCCGTCAGATTGGAAAATGAACCGATTGTGTGATCATCTACATTGTCCAGCCGGGGGTCATTGTTCCTCAACCATCGAACAGCTTCGTCAACAGCTTTCTGTCTATCGTTCTTGTCGCTCGAGGACAACACAAGGCTTTCAACAGCATCAACTGTGGGTTGATCAAGACATTGTTCCAGGTCAGGGTCGTTCTTCCTGAGCCAACCAACTGCATCTTCCAGAAATGACGATTTGTTTAGTGGAGACAGATCTTCTGGAAGTGGAAGACCAGTCAGTCGCGAAAATCCCTCTAAAGTAGCTTCAGGGTGGCCCTCAAAGACAGGATCGTTCTTCCTTAGCCAATCAATGGCTTCTTCCAAAGCAACCTTCAAAGCTTCTCTATCAGGAACACCCTTGGGAGCAGGGTGCCCAGCAAACCTTGTAATGCCTTCAACCGTTGGGTCATCCAGATTGTTCTCGATATCTGGTTCATTGCTTCGGAGCCAATTCACGGCATTCTGGGCAAATTTCTTTTTGTTTTTGGGTGTCATTTCTTTCGGTAAGGGCAAACCTGTCAAGCTGGAAAGGGCCTCTGCTGCTGGACCCTCCATCCTATCTAGTGGTGGGTTGTTGTTCCTGAGCCAGTTCACAGCATCCTCTAGAGCCTTCTTCTGAGCTGGACTCAACTTCGGAGAGCCGTTGAGAGGCACACCAGCAACATTGGCAATCTCCACTGCAGCTGGCTCATCCAGTTTTCCATACTTGGGCTCATTGTTCCTCAACCAGTTGATAGCACCCTCCACAAACTTCTTGTTGGCTTTTGGTGACACTTTGCTTGGCATCGGTAACCCAGTAAGGTTGGAGAAGGCATTCACAGTAGGCTTCTTCACATTCTCCAACTGTGCATCATTATTCCTCAGCCAGTTCACCGCATCCTCCAGAGACTTACGCTGAGCTGGATTTAACTTGGATGAGACAGAAGTTGGGGCCCCTGCAAAATTAATGACCTCCTGTGCCATTGGCACTTCAAGTTTGCCCAGATTGGGCTCATTGCTTCGCAACCAATCAATAGCATCTTCCATGTACCTCCTGTTGTCCTTGGGTGTTTTCGTTTTTGGTACGGGCAACCCAGTCAGGTTCGAGAAAGCTTCAACTGTTGCATCCCTTACTTTGTCAGGCTTTGGGTCATTTGCCCTCAGCCAGTTCACTGCATCATTCAACTCCTTCTTCTGCGCCAAATTTAACACGGATAATGTGGGAATAGGGATACCAGCCACATTGGCAACCTCCTTTGCAGCAGGTTCGTCGATGTGATCAAGCTTGGGCTCATTGTTCCTCAGCCAACCAATGGCACCCTCCACAAATTTTTTGTTGGCCTTTGGTGTCAAATTGCTTGGCATCCGCAACCCAGTAAGATTTGAGAAAGCCTCCACAGCAGGTTTCTTGACATTCTCAAGTCTTGGATCATTGTTTCTCAGCCAGTTCACGGCATTTTCTAATGCCTTCTTCTGAGATGGGGTTAACGAGGATGAAGGAGGCATGGTGACACCAGCTATGTTAGCAACCTCCTTCGCCGTCTGCTCATCAAGGTGACCAAGACTGGGCTCGTTATTCCTCAGCCAGCCAACGGCATCCTCCACAAACTTCTTGTTGGCTTTTGGTGAGAGCTTCCTAGGCATCGGCACCCCAGTGAGGTTAGAGAAGGCTTGTACGGCAGGCACCTTCACATTGTCCAGCTGTGGATCATTTTCCCTGAGCCAGTTCACTGCATCTTCCAGCGCCTTCTTCTGGTCTGGGCTCAATGCAGATGATTTGGGTAGAGAAATTCCAGCCATTTTGGCAACTTCTTCTGCAACTGGCCCACTCACTTGACCAAGAGCAGGCTCATTCTTCCTTAACCAGCCAATTGCATCGTCGGCAAACTTCTTGTTAGCTTTTGGTGAGAGCTTCCTAGGCATGGGTAACCCAGTGAGGTCAGAGAGGGCTTCTACTGTGGGTGCCTTCACATTGTCCAGCTTTGGGTCATTGTCCCTCAACCAGTCCATCGCATCTTCCAATGCCTTCTTTTGCCCTGGGCTCAACGCAGAGGATCTTGGCAATGGAACTCCAGCCATCTTGGCCACTTCCACTGCAGTTGGCTCGTTGACACCACCAAGATTTGGCTCATTGTTCCTCAACCACCCAATAGCATCCTCCACAAACTTCTTGTTTGCCTTGGGCGTCTGACTCTTTGGCAAGGGTAAACCAGTCAGGTTCGAAAAGGCTTCAACTGTGGGCAACTTGACTTTGTCCAACTGTGCATCATTTTCCCTTAGCCACTTCACTGCATCTTCCAAAGCCTTCCTCTGTAGAGGACTCAACTCACTGGAGGTGGGCATGACAGCACCAGCAACATTTGCAACCTCCACAGCTGCTGGCTCGTTGAGTTGATCAAGTTTTGGCTCATTTTTCCTCAACCAACCAATGGCATCCTCCACAAACTTCTTGTTCGCCTTGGGTGTTAGTTTACGAGGCACCGGCATACCAGTTAGATTGGAGAAGGCTTCCACTGTTGGCTTCTTCACGTTGTCCAATTGCGCATCGTTGTTCCTCAACCAGTTCACAGCATCATCCAATACCTTCATTTGTATGTCGCTTAAAAGGGATGAAGATGGCAAGGGAATGCCAGCAACACTTGCTAACTCATTTGCTGTAGCTTCATCCACGTCACCAAGATTGGGATCATTGTTTCTCAACCACCTGACAGCATTTTCCACGAATTTCTTGTTAGACTTGGGTGTCAGTTTGCTGGGCATTGGAGTCCCAGTGAGGTTAGAGAAGGCTTCTACTGTGGTCTCTTTGACATTGTCCAGCTTTGGGTCATTCTCCCTCAGCCAGTTCACGGCATCCGCCAAGGCTTCCTTCTGAGCTCGACTCAGCTTTGGTGCGGTCGGCATTGCCGGACCAACAACACTAGTGATCTCAATTGCAGAAAGCTCGTCAACTCGACTCATGTTGGGCTCATTGCTCCTCAACCAACTGATGGCATCCTCCACAAATTTCTTGTTGGCCTTTGCTGATAGTTTGCTTGGAATTGGCAAACCAGTGAGGGTGGAGAAGGCTTCCACAGTGGGTTCTTTGACATTGTCCAACTGTGCATCATTATTTCTCAACCATTTCACCGCATTTTCCAGAGACTTCAATTGCGCTGAACTTAACCCAGCAGCGGGCATGGCAACACCAGCAACATTTGCAATCTCATTTGCAGATGCATCATTCATTTGACCAAGATTGGGCTCATTTTGCCTTAACCAACCAATAGAATCCTCCACATACTTCTTGTTGGCCTTGGGTGTCTTGCTTTTGGGCACAGGCAACCCAGTTAAGATCGAGAAGGCCTCAACTGTCAGTTCTTTCACATTGTCCAGTTTCGGGTCGTTATTCCTAAGCCAGTTCACCGCATCATCCAAAGCCTTCTTCTTGGCCGGACCTAATTCAGAAGAGGATGGCATGGGGACTCCTGCAAGACTGGTTATCGTTGCTGCTGTGGATGGGTCAACCTTGCTAAAATCCGGTTGGTTCTTTCTCAGCCAGTTTATGGCATTTTCCATGTGTTTCTTGTTTGTTGAAGGTGAAGTCGATGTTGGCATAGGCAGACCAGTCACATTGGACAAAGCTTGGGCAATGGGCATATCCACTCTTGAAAGATCCGGATCATTCTTCCTTAACCAATTGATGGCGTCTTCCATAGCCTTCCTTTTGGCATCTCTATCCGTTGATCCAAGCGGGAGAGGCACTCCAGCAAGATGTGTAATACTTTGCAATGTAGATTCATCCATAGCTTGTGCATGTGGCTCATTGTTTCTGAGCCAATCAAAAGCACTATCAATAAATTTCTTCTTATCCACAGGAGTCCTTGAAGAGGGAAGAGGTATGTCCGTCACAAGAGACAGTGCCTCAAGTGTGGGATCATCTATGCTGCCTGGATGCACCGTGTTGTTCCTCAACCATTCCAATGCATTATCCAGAGAATTCTGCTTAGCATCACCTGGGGTAGATGCAGCGGGTAGTGGTACACCAGCCAATCCAATGATTGCGCCAATACTTGGGTCGGCTAAATCGAGACTGGGGTCATTATTCCGAAGCCAGTCCAAAGCACTGTCCACGAAGTCTCCCTTTGTCTTCTGGGAAATCTTCTTTGGAAGACTCATACCTGTAAGACTTGACAAGGCTTCCATTGTGGGCTCATCAATGTTGTCAATATTGGGGTCATTGTTTCTGAGCCAATCCAAGGAATCTTCCAATGCATTTTTTAGTGCTCCTTGAGACACCATACCTGGTGGAAGAGCATGCCCAGCAAGGCTTGTCACAGCTTCTACAGTAGGATCATCCAGGTGCTTGTCCAAATCCGGGTCATTCTGTCGAAGCCAAGCCAAGCTTTTTTCCATGAACCGCTTTTTGCTGCTGTCAGTCAACTTGCGTGGCAAAGCCAACCCCGTTATCCTCGAGAAAGCTTCAATAGTTGGAGTGTCAAGGCCATCAAGGATTGGATCATTCTGCCTCAGCCAATCAATTGCATCTTCCATAGCTTTTTTCCTGGCTGCTTTGCTTGCAGCCCCTTCAGGGAGAGGAATACCAGCTAATGAAGTGAGAGCTTCCAACGTCGGATCATCAAGTCCCTTGAGATCAAGATCATTGTCACGCAGCCAGGCCAGGGCTTCATCCATCGCATCTTTCTTGTCATCATCACTCATACTTGCATGAATGGGCACACCTGAGAGTTTTCCGAGTGCCTCCATAGTTGCATCATCAATATCACCAAAGTCTGGATCATTGTTCCTGAGCCAATCCAATGCACTATCCATGGCTCTCTGCTTGGCACCAGGTGCAGTGCCATCCACTGGCAATTGCACTCCTGCTAGTTTTGCAAGTGCTTGGAGGGAAGGATCGTCAAGACCTGACGAGTCTGGATCGTTGTTCCTGAGCCAATTCAAGGCATCATCCATTGCAGCTTTCTTCGTCCCTGCTGCTTCCAATCTTGAAGTCATGGGAAGACCTGCCAGGTTGGTGACAGCCTCCACAGTAGGATCATCTAGATGTTTGTCAATATCAGGATTGTTGTGTCTCAGCCAGTTTAGTGCACCTTCCATAAACTTCTTCTTGGTCTTCGGTGAAAGCTTCTTCGGTAGGGGTTCTCCTGTCAGCCTCGAGAATGCTTCAACTGTAGGGTTGTCAACATCATCGACATCAGGATCATTGTCGCGCAACCAAGCCAGTGCCTCTTCCATAAGTTTACGTTTTGGATCTGTTGGCACCATACCACGAGGGAGTGCCTGGCCTGCCAACTTAGTCACAGCTTCAACAGTGGGGTCATCCAAATTGCTGTCAATATCCGGATCATTGATACGCAGCCAACCAATGGCATCCTCCATGAACCGTGCTGTCTTGCCTTGTGTAAGCTTTTTAGGGTGGGGCAAACCAGTCAGTCGTGAGAAGGCCTCTGCGGTGGCCTTGTCAACATCATCTAGGCTGGGATCATTTTTCCTCAACCAGCCAATTGCCTTCTCCAAAGCTTTCCTTTTCTCATCCCGAGTGGAGGCACCAGGTGGCATTGGAAGCCCAGATAACTTCATGAAGTCCTCCACGGTGCCATCATCTAGAAGTCCAAGATTTGGATCGTTGTTCCTTAGCCACTCCAGTGCATCAGCAGCAAATGCTGACTTCTTCCCATCTGTCGTGAATGTCGGCAATTCCAGACCAGAAATCTTCGCCAAGGACTCCAGGGTTTGATCATCAAGGTGGTCCAAATTAGGGTCGTTGTTCCGGAACCATTCTAATGCATTGTCCACTGCTTTCTGCTTTGCCTCTTGTGCGGTGGCTGCTGCTGGCATTGGTGTGCCTGCAAGGCTGGTAACTGCTTCAACAGTAGGGTCATCGAGGTGGCTATCAATGTCAGGATTGTTCTTCCTTATCCAACCCACCGCACCCTGCATAAACTTCTTCTTTGTCTTGCTTGTTAGCTTCTTCGGCAGGCGTTGACCTGTCAACCTGGAAAATGCTTCTGCAGTGGGATTGTCGACATTGTCCAAGTTTGGATCATTCTTTCTCAACCATTTAATTGCATTCTCCATTGCTTTTCTCTTCGCAGCATTGGATATAATGCCTGGTGGAAGGGGTTGATTTGCGATATTGGCCAAGGCTTCAACAAAGGGATCATCTAAGTCTTGGTCCAGTAGCCCTTCATTCTGTCTTAGCCATTCAAGGGCATCATCGGCAAACTGTTTCTTGGTGGAAAGAGTAAGACTATCTGGAAGATCCTTACCAGACAAATTTGCAAGGGCAGCAAGCGTAGCGTCATCGATCATTGATGCATCTGGCTCATTGCTTCGCAGCCAGGCCAGAGCATCATCAACAGAAGCTTTCTTTGCTTTCCTGATTGAAACTGAGGATGGAAGAGGGACTCCTGCCAATTCAGTGAACGCCTCTAGAGTGAGGTCGTCCAAATTTCCATCCAGCCTTGGGTCATTATTTCGAAGCCAGTCCAGCGCATCTTCCATTGCTGTCTTCTTTCCGTCTGCCGTCATATCTGCAGGCAGATCAACCCCTGTTAGCTTCAGGAATGCTTCCATAGTATGATCCTCCACATTGTCTAGATCTGGATCATTATTGCGAAGCCAGTCCAGTGCACCTTCCATTGCAAGCTTCTCCGAATCCATTCCCTTCGAAGCTGATGGCATTGGAAGACCAGCAAGCTTGGCTAGTGCTTCAACTGTTGTCTGGTCCAAGTTGTCCTCAAAGTTTGGGTCATTATCTCGCAGCCAATTCAAGGCGTCATCACAAAACGAGATCTTGTCCTCTGGAGATAGCGAGTCGGGTAGGGGCATACCAGTCAAGTTTGAAAGTGCTTCAACTGTTGGGTCATCAATATCCATGACATCTAGGTTGTTTTCCCGTAACCAGTCTAAGGCGTCAGACAACGATTTCTTCTTGGCTTCTCGTGTGACAACCCCAGCAGGCAAGGGGACACCTGCAATCTTTGTAATTGTTTCTAGAGCATCATCATCCAAATCGCCCAGATTCATATCATTGTTTCTCAGCCATTCTAGAGCATCATCAGCAAAGTCCCCAATAGCTTCACCTGTTTTCGAGGTAGGCATCTGAATCCCAGTGAGGTTGGAGAGTACCTCCAGTGCCGAGTCGTCCAAGTCATCAGGCGATAAGTCATTGCTTCGAAGCCAATCCATAGCATCATCCAGGGATTTTGTCTTTGACTCATCTGGCGACAAAGGTCCCCTGGGGGATGGAATACCGGCAAGCCTTGTTACAGCTTCAACCGTGGGATGGTCCAGATTGCTATCAATATCAGCATCATTCTTCCGCAACCATCCAAGTGCTTTCTCCAGAAACTTTTTGTTATTCTTGGCAGACAGCTTCTTGGGCATTGTCAATCCTGTCAACTTCGAAAAGGCCCTAACAGTGGAAGCATCAATGCCTGAAAGATCTGGGTCATTGTTCCTGAGCCACGAAAGTGCTTTCTCCATGGCCCTCCTTCTTGCATCATCTATGTTCAAGGGAGGGTAGTCCAAAGATGGTCCTGCAAGGTTGAGCAATGCGGCTAGCTTTGGGTCTTCCAGATCTATGGCCTCCATGTCATTGCTTCGAAGCCAGTCAAGTGCGTCATCCAACAGAGCCTGCTTTTGTCCTTGTCCGGAAGACTGCAGCGCACCAGGGTGCAAGCCTGCAAGGTTGGCTAGTGCTGCTAACGCATCATCATCAACATCATCAACATCAGGCTCATTATCTCTCAGCCAACCAAGGGCATCTTCCATGGCATTGGATTTCTGTTCTCTCGATAGTTGTAATTTGGGCATCGAGATACCAGCAATGTCAGCAAGGGCAGCCAGGGTAGGGTCGTCAACATCGCTTCCCTCCAATTCATTGTTCCTTAGCCAGTCAAGCGCCTCATCCATGGCTTTTGACTTCGCATTCTCTGAAAGCTCCCCCCTCGGCAAAGGTACACCTGCAAGCTGAGTCAGAGCTGCAAGAGCATCATCATCCAGATCGCTGACATCAGGATCATTGTTTCGAAGCCAGTTCAGAGCATCGTCCATTGTACGGGATTTATCTCTAGCCTCCACGGAGCCCTTAGGAATCTCAATGCCAGCAAAGCTGGACAGAGCAGCAAGCGCCGAAGGATCCACCCCATCTAGGTTTGGGTCATTATCGCGTAGCCAAGCAAGCGCAGCTTCAGCTGTCTTGGCCCTTTGCTTGTCATTCTTTAAACCTTTTGGAAGCTTCAACCCTGCAAGACTAGCCATTGCTGCTGTTGTTGTGGGATCAAGGTCATCCATGTCGGGGTTGTTATTCCTCAACCAATTCAATGCATCCTCCATTGCCTTTCCCTTGGCATCATCAGACAATTCACCAAGGGGCATTGGCTTGCCAGCAAGTTCTGTCAAAGCAAGCAAAGCATCACTGTCCAGATCATCAACATCAACTGTGTTGTCCCGCAACCAATCCAGCGCACTTGAAAGATATTCCTCCTTTCCCGCACTGGTCAAAGTTTCACGAGGCATTCCAATATCTGCAATGCTGGCAAAAGCCACCACGGTGGAATCATCAAAATCTTGGTCCAAATCAACCTCATTTTGCCTTAACCAACTGAGAGCATCCTTCATGAACTTCTTCTTCTTTTTCGATGTAAGCTTGGTTGGCATTGGAATCCCTGTTACTTTCGAAAATGCAGTTATGGTTGGTGCATCAATGTTGTCAAGGAGAGGATCATTGTGTTGCAACCAGTCCAAGGCATTTTCCATGGTTTTTCGCTTGGCATCTCCAGAGAGTGACCCGCGGGGAAGATCAATTCCTGTAAGGCCTGCGAGTGCCTCCAGCGCAGACTCATCCAGATCGAGCCCATCAAAATCAGGGCTATTATCTCTTAGCCAGGCTAATGCATCATCTGCAGCTGCAGCCTTAGTCTCGTCTGAAAGGTCCCCTCGAGGCACTGATATTCCAGCAAGATTTGCCAATGCAGACAGTGCGTGCTCATCCATGTCATCAATGTCTGGGTCATTGTTTCGTAGCCAGTTTAGGGCATCATCCATGGTTTGCGCCCTCTCGTTTTGGGTGCGCAAACCCTTTGGCATAGACATCCCTGCGAGATCTGCTAACGCTGTTACAGTTCCAGGGTCAAGACCACTAAGATCAGGGTTGTTGTTCCGCAGCCACCCCAATGCGTCTTCCATTGCCTTGGCTTTTGAATCTTCTGACATCTTTGCTCTGGGCATTGGAACACCGGTCAAACCTGACAGTGCTTCAAGAGCTGAGTCATCAACATCTTCGATACCGCCAGTGTTACTTCGGAGCCACTGCAAAGCTTCATCCATGGCATCAGCTTTCTGCTGGTTAGACAGCTCAAGTCCAGGCATGGCAACCCCAGAAAGGTTCTCCAGTGCCTTGAGCGTGTCGAAGTCAACACCGTCCAAGTCTGGATTGTTATTTTTGAGCCAACCGAGGGCATCCTCCATTGCCTTTGACTTTGCTTCCTCAGAAAGTTCTGCTTTCGGGATGCTAAGGCCTGCCAAATCTGAAAGGCTCAACAGAGCAGCATCGTCAAGATCTCCAGATGGGTCGTTCTCTCGAAGCCAGCCGAGAGCATCATCCATCAAAGTCTCTTTCATATTCAAGCTGAGCTTTCCCTTGGGAATGTCAATACCAGCAAGAGTGGCCATTGCAGCTAAAGATTCGTCATCGACGTCATCAATATCCAAATCAGCACTTCTCAGCCAGTCCAGAGAATTTGCCATTGCTTTGGATTTCACATCCTCAGACAATTCTGCTTCGGGAGTTGGTAGCCCTGCTAGGTTGGAGAGTAAATCAACAGTACTGTCATCCAGGTCTCCAAAGTCAAATTCATTGCTTCGCAACCAGCCTAATGCGTCATCCATCGCTTTGGCCTTGACATCAGCCCCCAGTTTAGGTTTTGGCATTTCCATTCCTGCAAATTTTCTGAACGACTCAAGAGTAGTGTCGTCAACATCTTCCAGGTTGATATCATCATTCAGTTTAAGCCAATCCAATGCATCTGACATTGCTTGTGCCTTCCTCTCTTCCGGGGAGATAGGGCCTTTTCTCGGCCCCAAGCTGATTTTTCCTAAACTAGATGCAAGGGGGTCATCAATCCCATCAGCCCCAACATTGCCACTTCGCAGCCAATTCAACGCATCCTCCATAGCCTTTGCTTTCGGGTCGTTCAGGTCAATGCCAACATCAAGACCAGCAATCCCCCCAGAAGCCGCTAGAATCTTTGCAAGAGCATCGGGGTCATCCAGTCCATCAGTCCCTGCCTCTGAGCCTCTGAGCCAGTTCAACGCTTCATTCATTGCATTAGCTTTCCTCTCTTCATCAGAAAGGGCTCCAATCCTAGGCCCTGCCGCAATCTTTGCATAGGAGGCAACGGAGATGTCATCCAAATCACCCCCAGCTGCATTTGTCTGCCTAAGCCAGTTCAAGGCATTGGCCATGTCCTGGGCCTTCTGGTCGCCAGGGGACAATGGACCATCAAGGCCACCCCCCGACGCAGCAAGAATCTTAGCAAGTGCATCAGGGTCGTCCAAACCATCAGTCCCTGTTTCTGCACTCCTGAGCCAGTTTAAGGCATCATTCATGGCACTGGCCTTCCTTTCTTCATCCGTCAGTGGTCCAGTTTTAGGGCCCTTCCCAATTTTGGCATATGAGGCCACAGAGATGTCATCCAAGTCATCCCCCGCAACATTCTTCTGCCGGAGCCAATCAAGGGCACTGGCCATGTCTTGCGCTTTTTGATCAGCTGGGGAGCCACCAAGCCCATCCGATGAGGCCGCCAACATCCTAGCAAGGGCATCTGGATCGTCCAACCCATCAGCCCCTGCTTCAGAACCCCTGAGCCAGTTCAGTGCATCATTCATTGCACTGGCCTTCCTTTCTTCATCTGTCAAGGGCCCAGACCGAGGGCCCTTGCCAATTTTGGCATATGAGGCCACAGAGATGTCATCCAAACCTCCATCTGCTGCATTGCTCTTCCGAAGCCAGTCGAGCGCATTCGCCATATCACGTGCTTTTTCGTCTTCCGGAGACAAAGAACCACCGATACCTTCGCTGGTAGCTGCCAGCATCTTTGCCAGGGCATCAGGGTCATCCAACCCATCAGTTCCTGCCTCAGAACTCCGAAGCCAGTTGAGGGCATCATTCATTGCATCGGCTTTCCTCTCTTCCTGGGTTAGAGGGCCTGTTCTGGGACCAGCTGCAGCCTTGGCATAAGAAGCCACTGAGATGTCGTCAAGATCAGAACCTGCTGCATTGCTCCTGAGCCAATTCAAAGCATTGGACATGTCCTGCGCTTTCTGGGCCCCACCGGAAAGTGGAGCTCCAAAGCCATCAGCTTCTGCTGCCAACATTTTTGCCAGGGCATCAGGGTCATCCAGTCCATCAGTACCTGTCTCTGAAGTCCTCAGCCAGTTCAAGGCATCTGTCATCGCTGCGGCCTTCTTCTCTTCGTCTGTCATGGGGCCAGTTCTGGGCCCAGTGCCAGGCTTCCCGAAAGATGCAACAGATGGGTCATCAAAACCCATTGGGACAGCAGCGTTCTCTCTCATCCAGTTCAAGGCGGCCATGTTGCCAGCGTCTGCATCCGCTGCCGCAGGCATGGGGATCGACCCAGCACTTTGGAAGGAGGCAATCGACATGAGGTCCATCGGGGAATCGTCTGCTGCGTCATTGGTCCTCAACCATGCAAGCGCATCAGCCATTGATTGTGCTTTGCGCTCCTCGTCTGTCATCGGCCCACCTTTAGGAAGAGCTCTTGGATCCACTGATTGCAAGTATGATGCCACGGAAGGTTCGTCGCCAGCGACAGACTTGTCACCACCGCTACGAAGCCAGTTCAGTGCATTTTCCAGGTCATTCGCGTGGGCATCTTCTTCAGCACGAGAAAGTCCAGCCATTCCAGAAATTTTCGTGAAGGAAGCAAATGAAGGATCATCAAGAACCACATCGTCCACCGCATCATTCGATTGCAGCCATGCTAGTGCGTCTGCCATCGACGCGGCTTTCTCCTCCTCAGCCGTCTTCGGTTTGGTAGGGTCGAAGACAATTTTTGATGAGGCGACAGAAACATCAGCAACACTTGCGTTTTCATTCCCCGGCTCACGGAGCCAGCTCAGCAGGTTATCCATCGTTTCACTCTTCTGAGAAACGGACAGGTCACCGCCACTAGGAATGATCGATTCCACTAGCTTGAATGACTTGACGGTCATGTCGTCGAGATCGGGATCATCATAATTGAAGTCGTTGTTGCGAAGCCATCCAAGGGCGTCTTCCATTTCGTTTGCTCTTTGCGCCTCCAGCGAATCACCCAGGTCGCCCGGCGGGACGTTATCCCCCGCGGCAACTCCCGAGGGATCGCCGTATGCTCCGCCATGTTCTTGGTCCCGTAACCAACCCAGAGTTTCGGCCATCTTTCTAGCTTTCTTACGGTCTTCGTCGTTCAGTGAACCATCTTTCCTCCTTGCGCTCAACCATTTGTGCGCTTTGTCGAGCTTCTTTGTGAGCTTGTCCGCCTCTTTCTGCGTCATGTTGGAGCTCCTGACAGCAAACACTCTTCCCTTATCATGCCACCACTTCAGTAGTGGCCCGAGTTCGTTCGTCACACTGTACATCTGCTCAATCTCTGAGGGCAAGAAGCAGGATGGCTCATTAGGGTCAAAGGATTTGCTCTTATCCACTCGTTCCCACCAATTTCCAACATCCTTGGCTTTCTCGACATTTTTCTTCTTTTCTGCGCGTCCCTTCCCGCCTGCGAACCAGTCAAAGACATCGTCCATGTGATAAGCAACCACATCGGCAACATCCTCCTGACCTTTGCCAGTGCGACTCCAATCCACTCCACCCTCAGACTTGAAGGCATCCTTGTCGTTTTGCTCAAGATATCTCGTTATCTGCATCAACTGATCCACTTTCTTCCTGTCGGCACGCTTCAACGACTCTGTGTCACAGTTGTAGCCTCTGTCGCGCCACCAAGATACCGCATCTCCAAGATCTTTGCAAACATCCTTGTCGTTCACATCCCCATCCTCGTCTCCGGACCACACACCAAGGACACCCTTCAGCTTGTTCAACTTATCTGGGTGGTCGCTTTTCTTCTTCTTCTTTGTAGTACGATTCCAAGATAACAAGTCATCAAGCTCTTTCGACGCACGAGCAGCACGTTCTGCGTCAACTGGTGAGCCGTATTGACCCCACCACTGCGCGAATCGTTTTGCTTTCTCGTACTTTTTGGCCTCGGCCTCCGCGTCGTCCAAATCCATAAATTGTCCCACTTTGCGGAACCATCCCATCGCGTCTTCGACCTCCTTGACTGCTTTCTCAGCCTCGGGAGCTGGCAGTGAATGTAGCGCTGGAACTTTTCCTGGTTTACCAATGGCATCGTGCCAGAGAGACACCGCTTCCTCCGCTTGGGCAGCCCTGGACCAATCAACCTGCGCTTCCTCCTTTGCCTGGTCGGCATCGAAGTCCTTGCCACCATCATCGTCCCACCACTTCATTGCGTGCTTCATTTCGCTCGCCACGCTTTCCGCTTCGTCTGCTGTCAAAGGGTCGGCCGATTTCATTCTCTGCCACAGACTCATCGAATCGAGCAGCTTCTCAACCGCGCTCCGCTCAAGCGGGTTTTCAATGACACTCTCGAGGCTACCCAACGGCTTGCCGAACTTCTTCCATATTTCCAACGCATTCTCTAGCTCATGTATGCTCTCCTTGTTCCTCATGTATGTCATTACATCTTCAGGCGTGTCGTCACCAGAATTGTAAGCTGGCATCTGCATTCCGCCCCAGCCACCAAAGATTTGCGCCAACTTGTCATAAGTCTTTCGGTCGTCGGGATCCATCTTCTGCGGCTTCTTCTTCTTATTTCGCGACCACCATTTCATGGCTTCGTCCAATTCCTTCCCACTCGATTCGTCCAAGGACTCTAAGGACTTGGCTCTCCAGTTGCGCATCCCTTCTTGGACTTTGTTGAACTTGATCAGATCCTCGCCTTCGAAATCTTCCGGATCCATGCTCTTTCCGTTTCGCTTCCACCACGACAACGCGTCAAGCAGATCACCTGTCGCTCGCTCCTGCTCAATAGACCCGTCGTCATTCCAATCGGAGAAAATTTGCTTTAGTTTCTCGTACATCTTCAGCTCGTCCAAACTTGCTTTGTCCGGGTCGAAACTTTTACCGCTGCGTTTCCACCATCCTAGCACTTCCTCAATTTCTTCCTGAACTTTCTTTGCATCTTCCACACTTGCAAAGGGGTCGTTTCGTAGAAAAACCATTGCTCGCTTAATCTTCATCATTCGCTCGGCTTCGAAGGGGTCAAGATCACTCTCGTCAGCCCCCTTGTTCCTCTTCCAGAACTTGACGGCGTCTTTCATCTCCTTTGCCACTTTCTCGGAGTTAACTTCCTCGGAGGGCTCCTTCAGTCCCCAAGCATCAAAGCAATGTTTCACCTTCTTGTACATGCTGATTTCCAATTGAGGCGCCGTCTCGGGATCAAAAGCACTTCCATTCTTGCGGTACCAGTCGAGCGCTTCTTCTAACTGCTTATCGGCTGTCTTGGGAGTTGGCGACGAACGGAACGTCCATTCTCCCATGCACTGCTTGACTTTCTTGAACGGGTCAACCTTGGTGGGTCCAACGTCCGCTTGAAGGTCGTCAAAGTCTTGGTTGAGAAGTCCTTCCATCTTCGCTTCCAAATCTTTGGCGATCTTCTTCGCTTGGGACGGGTCGGAAGCTGGGTCAAACTCGAGTTTTTCCTTGGGTGGTCCAGCTTTGGCGCGGTACCAATCGAAGAAGTGGTCCATTTTGCGGAATTGATCCGACTTGACACCAAGTTCCGCCATGCTTTGCTCGTAGTCATCTTTGTGTTCGAACCACCAGCTCAAGCACTCCTGGAGTTCCTTGGCTTTCTTTTTGTCGCTGAGACTTTCGTCTCCCCACTTGCTCAAAATTTCCCTTGTAGCAAGCGCTTTCTTGTCGTCAGCAGTAGGCCCCTGGTAAAGCTTCCCACGATCGGCCCACCACTGCAAAATCTCCTGCATTTCCTCCGCGCTTTCCGCGAGAATGCCTTTGTCGGCTTCGACTCCTGCCTGTTCATCATGATAGGCTTTGGTCCACCAGCCCATGGCATCTTTCATTTGTTTGGTTCGAGTCTCTCCCGATTCGGCGGAAACCTCACCGGCATCTAGCTTTTCGTACTTAGGAGCTTCCCGGGTCCTAAGGTTGGCCATAATGTCGAAGCTGAGGTCCGCTCCATCAAACTCGTCGATTGGTTTGAAATCGTCGTCTACGCCTAGATCGATTCCGGAAATCTCGTCAATGTCCACATCAGGATTCGAGGATTCCCACCAATTCATGTCGCCTTTCATCTTTTTCGTGTTTGCGTCGGCCGCCGCCGCGGCATTGGGATCCCCACCAGATCCCAAATCCAACCACCAAGCAGCGGCATCCTGCATCTCCTGCGCCAGCTGTTTGGTTTCGGTACCGCCCTTCTTGTCGCCGGCGGCGGATTTCTTCTTTGATTTCGTCTTCCTCTCGTCATCACTATCATCGTCATCCACCACATCCGACTTCTTCTTCTTCTTCCCAGCAGAATCCGACTTCTTCTTCCCAGTTTCCGTCTTCTTCTTCTTGGTAGTTTTCTTGGGAGCAGGCTCGACCGACGAGGCAACGGAGCTTCCCTCTCCGATGCTGGCGACGGCTGCCTGCTTCTTCTTCTTCGCCTTCTCTTTCTTCTTCTTCTTCTTCTCCATCACGTCATGGTCAACCAAGGATGCGGTTTGGCGGCTATCCTCAGCAGCATCATCGGCCCCGAGGCCGAACCAGTTCATCATCTTGGAAAAGTATTCTCAATGGAGTTGTAATCAAACAAACTGCTAAAAGAGAATATGTATCGACACACTCACACTGGAATGAACTAGAGTGATTGTTGTGTCGTCGTATCGTATTGTTGTCGTCTAGAAGTAAGTGTCGTTCCGATGAAACCAACACTATTATCCAATCTAAAAATTCAGAATCCAATCCGACTCGTTTCCTTCCAACAAATCTTTCTCGTTCCTAACTCTTTCTCAAACAATCAATCTAGCGCTTTCGCTACGATAACAGCACTCTTTGTCTCTACTACGGCGACTGTAGTAAAGTTAAGCACTGCGTATAAAAGGATCGTCACAGTCTCCTTACAAACCCAACAACTACTTGTTTGGCTCGGTTCGGATGTTAAAACTCGACAATGGTCGAAACGAAGGGAAAAGCAAAAAGCACCCTCGAGGCGCAAAAAAGGGGGGTTCACCCGCGCCCTCTTCAAAAGATCGCAAGGTTGCTACCAAAATATTCTCGTGGGAAGCACACAAACATGTTAGGTATTGAGTCGAATGAGTCGATCCAGTCGTATCCATGACCCGGTTCCACACCTTGCATACAACCGGCAGCAGGATTGGCTTTTTTTAGTTAGAAGACACAATGACCCATTCTTATGACGTCATACAAGGAACCTAGAGACACCCGTATGGCCCTTATTTATAAGATAAAGAAGAGAAGTACAGAAGAAGCCTAGATGGAGATTTCGAATGACGAGTCCTCAGTCCCCACAACAGATGCCGGTACCGCACCTGGATTGGGGAATTTATTGTGGCATTTGATCAATTCAGAGTAAGTCACAAGACATAAATGTCAAATAAACAAATTGACAAAATCAACCGGATTTTTTGGCTCGACTCGACTCCTTGACTCCAATTGACATGGACCAATGACCTTTTGATTTCATCCCTCATCAACCACCTACCGGTACCGTACCATGGCCAATGGTCCAAACAACAGTACAAGCAGAGAGAAGCTGCCGATTGTTGCGCTTCATGGAAGACCAGGCGTCATTGTCGAGGCGTCAATGGCCTCTCCGTGGCGTGGAAGCAGTCATCGACCGAAAGTGGCAAGAAGGAAAAATGCCGCTGTAATCCATAGATGCACTATCACGGTAGCCAAAGGAAAAACTCCGTTCGATTCATCGCTCAGCAGTAGTCGCTTGGTACAGGCGTCGCTCTCATGGTCGCTCTTGAAAGATCGTCGGAAGAGGCGAGCTTCTTCGGACTTTAGCTGTTTCTCTCGCTGCCCTTGCCGTGTTTCCAGCCTATCCAGACAAAAGGAGCCTGTCATGGTAGATCCTTCTTGAAAAGGAGTCCACAGTGTAGCCGCTGTGAAGAGGAGGTAATGGCATCTTGATGGAGTAATTGTGTCATTGTGTCGAATAATGAAACAGGACAACAAGTGGCTTGTCATTGCTGGAGGACTATCGATCACTTTGTCCAGGTGCACAAATTGTGAGCTAATTTAAGATTAAGAAAACGTACTACAAATAGCACTGGTGCCTATCCTCGACAGTCGCCACCAGCATGTAGGGGCTCTGCAATAGCTCAGCGAGTCGTGCTTCCAAAGTATGGTCGCACTAATCGAAAGTTGATGGGCTCGATGTAGTTCCTTCGCTGAATATGAAGAGTTCCTGATGCTTTGTTGAAACTCACCACCTTAAAAGGGCCAACGTTGAGTTGCATCTTCGGATCCATCGAACTGCTCTTGATCAGAACGTGATCACCCTTCTTGTAGTTATGGGCAATCCTTCTTCGGTTCTCTCGAGTGTTGTTCAATTGGATCGCTGCTTCTCTGCGTTGTCGAACACGTTCGATGTCCGCTTCCATCTTAGTCCTCAGAATCATATCTCTCTGGTAGACCAGTTGAGATGGTGAATACTTGGTCACTCCATGGACAGTTGCTCTCATGGCATAGGCCGCCGCACTTGTCAGATCCTTGATGGGATCTTCCTTGAGGTGCTTGGTTGCAATCTGGACACGAAGCATGTCTCCTAAGACTTTGTGCATTCGCTCCACAATGGCATTCGCTCTTGGATTCTTCGCAGTGATTGGTTCTGGCTTAACGAACCATCGGGTACATGTAGCATGAAAACTTCTACAGTCAAACTCGCCACCTTGATCAAAGATAACTCGGCTTGGTCGTGGATACCGTCGTAGCCACTCCTGAATGAATAGATCCGCAATCGTCTCACTCTTCTTGGTCGTGATTGGAATGATCTCGGGCCATCCAGTGAAAACATCAATGATCGTAAGGGTATGAAAGATTACTTCCTTGTTGTCCACCGTTGCTTTCCACGGTCCGGAAAGGTCCACTGCCACGTCCTTCCATGGCTCGGTCTCTGGATCTTTCAATGGAATCTTACCGTAACCTCGCATTCCTCGCTTACCTAGTTGACATGCATGACAGCTCCTAATGTAGGTCCGAATCTGTTCTAACATCTTCGGCCACGTGTAATGTTGTCGTAAAGTATTGTACAGACGGTTCACTCCGG